GCAATCAGTATAATGTTAACTGTGCTTTAATGGCAATTCCCTTCCCTCTCCTCCCTCCCAGCCCTTGCCCCTTCATCCCACCAAGAAGTGATTCCTTCTTCTAGGGTGATTGTGCTACAAACTATGACCATGCAAGCAGCGTGGCCAAAATAGCGGTGCTCCTCCTTAATCCATTTGGAAAGCTACTAGAATTAAAATTGAGTGCTGCTTGCAGAGGTGTTTAGTCTCCACAGGCCATACCTTTGTGCAGACCCCTTTGAAGTCTTCTCCCAAGATGACTAAATTTTAACCTCCCTCTGCCCTTGGTATTCTATAACTCTGGCAAGAGTATAAAAATGTGTTTTGTTTGGTCTTTTCCTGGTTTCTACAGGACAAATCAATCTCACTCAAACTCTTTTTTAATATTTTTTTTTTAATAAAAGATGTTGTTAAAATAAAAGATACTGTTCACTTGCAAACTTGGGAAACCCCCTTTGAGGTTTTTTTACCACAGACTTTCCCTCAGTTTGTGTTGCTGTCACTAGCTCTATCTAGGCCTTTGGATAGTGGCTAGCAGATAAAGCTTTAGGAAGAAAAGACAAAGCTAGTTAATTTGAAAGGAAAGCATGCTTAATATATTTTAAAAAACCCCAACAAATAACAAGGCACTGCTTTGGATGCATGCTTTTGATAGGTGTTTCAATCTCAGCTCCGTCTTGCAGCATGTTTGTGTGGATTTGGGAAAAGCATATTGTAGTCAATGTATGCATTCTATAAGTCTTGCAGTTCACCATGCCTGGCTGCATGGCCTCACAATGTGTGCATACTGAACCAGGAGGCTGCGTGAGTGTAGGGCAATCTGAACAAGCTTCCTGGCCAAATGGGGTAGCTGGGGACAGGCTACTGAGCTGAGATTCATGGATAATTAAGTAGGTGACTGATCAGGTGAGAGAGTGTTACATGACACCATTTCAGAGGCAGGATAGCAATGCACAGGCGATCTCAGGAGCCTGAGTTTCAAGGAGTTGCACTGACAGGGTGCTACAGAGGTGCCTCGATGGTGAAAATAGGAGAGACTCATCTACCCACGTGATGAAAATGGGGAGCTCTGGACTTCTGGAAGAGAGCTAGGTTCTACTTCTTGTCTGTCTGTGTGAGAAGGAGGGGATCAAAAAAGAGTCCTCTCCTACCATTTACTTATTCAGGTAGCACGGGCCAGCATTCACCTTGGTGATCTGGAGAAACAGAAGAGCAAAATCTGTCAACAGAGAATGATCTCACTTCTGGCCTGGTTTATTGGAAGGGTAAATACTGAAAATAATGCATAATTCTCGCTGTCTTGCCCAGGGCTCTTGAAAACAACGTGTTGCTTGTATAGGGCAGGACCTTTTTCAGGTTTTTACCTGACTGGAGTGTTCAGATCCCTAGCAGATATTTTCAGCTCCTGGGTTTTGCTGAGAGCATATAACCTGTTTTATAGGAGCTACTGGTATTTACTCTTCATCACAGACCAAAATAAATACCTCTGTGATTGACAACGTGTGGGATGATCTGCACCAAAAAACTCATCCTAAAAGTAAAAAATTAATTAAATACCTAAAATACAGGTTTTCTGTCCCTCCAAATGTTCTTGTCAGCATTCCTACAATTTTGGATCCCCTCAGTACGTGCTATAAGCTGCCAATTCTTTGCCTCTTGCTACACCCCATTAAAAGGCACAGCAGCCGCATCCTAGTGGGCATATTCTTTTCCCCTCCCAAGCTCTGAGCAGTGTTACATCCACTGATGTGCAGCTCTTCCCATGATACCTGTGTGGGGTGTCCCTTCACTCTGCAGCATGCCTGCCAGGCTGTATATGCGCAGAAATACCCCTTGCATCATCAGGGCTGGTTGCACACAGGTGTAGCACGCAGTCATCTTAGTGAGCTGACTGACTGTGGCAAAACAGCCAAGTATATAGCAGGTTCCTGGAAGGCAAAAGTGGCTGCTGGTGCCTAGTTTGGGACAGACTACAAAGGAAAAACAGCTCTGTATCTTTTCCCTTATTGCCCATGTTGCCAGTGATGGTGGCTATGCTCATGTGCAGTGCCTGCATAGCCACGTGTTCTCCCCGCTCCACAGATCTGTAGTTTTCTGTGTACAACTGCAATAAAAAAAATAAGTCCTCCTTTTCTCTACTGCTTAAGTAGGAATAAAGGGCGGAAGTAACTATGAGGGAGGAGTACCTATTACTCTCTTAAGACAGGATCATCGTTACTAACTGGACTCAGCTGCAGAGGTCACACCTCCACACGGTCCTGCTGGATGCCCTTCCAACTCTGTTGGAATTAAGGGTAACCAAATTGACCTCTGCCCCAGTGGGAGTTATGGCTACTTCTTCCCTATAGATAGGCCTCACCTACCTATAGATAGTAACTCCCAAAGGTGAAACAAAATATCAGCAATATGGTCAGTGGATCATTGCCTGGGGCCTCAGCCCACGAGGTGTAAAGTTGGGCACAGGTGGGTTAGCCCTCGGGGATGGGCTGCCTGGCTTAGCAGGGCTTGCTGATGGCAGGGCAGGGGGTGACCCCTCATTGACAGCCACAGTCGCTGCCAGCACCTGTCCTGGCGAGTGGAATAGACTCTTCAACTGTTGGGGCATATATGGAGTGGATCATGGATATCTATCCTACAGGATCCAGAGAGAGGAGTATTGGTGGAGCCTGAAAGGGAACTTAATCGCTGCTAGTCTGTCCTAGTGACCGGAAAAGATCCTCCTGCCACCCGGGATGTAAGGAGAAGATCTGGATGACCATTCTACGAGAACTGGGATGAGGACTCTTGGATGGGCTGGAATTTCAAAAGTGGTAATTCTATGTACTTGTACTAAGAATTGCATGCAGGTAATTAATCGGACTTGACATAGAGTATTCTATGCAAATTAACATCTATAGTTACAAATCATTAATTCTAAATTAAGTTCTTAACACAGTTTGTATCTCACCAACTATTGTGACTTGTATGACCCGATTATGCCTGTTTCTAATAAACGGATGTGGGGTAAAAGGTGGGACGTGATGATTACAATAACATGGCGCATCACTTGGCGATTCCTGCGGCCAGCTATGATGAGGTGGATGCACCATTCATTTAACCTGGAAAAGGAGCACAAATCCCATCTATGTGTTCGATAAATAGCTGGCTACAACCTTCTGATCACGGAGCCCGGCTCCAGCAGAACTGAAACCCCCCGCCAGTTGCTGCTCTGGCGGAGCACCTGCAGGTGGCAGGTCCCCTCAGCTGTGGGCGCCATGTTTCACCCTCCTGCCCGCTCCTCCTTCCCTTTTCGTTCTGGCTCGTTAAGTATCGAGTTTTCCTGAGGAATGTCTCTTTGGCCACGTTGACTGATCGATTGTTACAGAACGGGGATCCGGTTGTGTGCGGCCCACCCTCGCGCTAGCATAACGGTCGGCACCGCCAGCGAAGGGAACGGGAGGGCGCCGCCGGTATTGGCGCATGCGCACCCGCCGCGGGGAGGCGACGGGGACGCGGGACGACGCGGGACGACCAGGCGGAAGGAGGGCTTCCCAAC